GCGAATCCTGTATTTAGGAATATGTGCATTGGATGTGGCACATGAACGTGGTTTGGGGAGCTCAAATGGTAGATAATTTTATTTTAGTGAAAAATGTTATGACGTGCCTTGGGCAAGCGTGGTTGTTAATACAAACTTTTTGCAGTTGAGCTCCTTGTTCAGCAGTGGCCACTTTCACCCTGATGATGCGTGCAATGTCAAGTCAATGTAAAAAAAATATTCAAACTTACACAGTTACTTTTGAAATGTCAGAATAGAATAACAGCCAGCCAGTCTGTTTGTCTGTAGCAGTAGCTAGGTGCGCTTTCATTCTTTGGATCACGACTGAATTTGAGGTCTGCTCAAAAATTATATGTGCCATGATTTGAAATATACAGAATTGATGAAATAGTTAGATCGATTTTCAAAAACTCTACGTTGTGAGAATTGAACTATCAACAGTTAAGTAGATAAGCTCAAAGTCCTGAATAAAATTTTGGCATTTTGGATTTTGATGTCCTTCTGAAGAATTCGAAGAATTTAAATTCTTGCATGCCTTAAGTACCATTTCTTAGTAACAGAAGAATAATTAGTGTTTCTTAAATAAGTTTTGATATTTGTATATATTACGCGAAACATCGATTTATATACATAAATAAAAAATAGTTTCGCAAACGTTATACTAAATAAACAGTGCATAATCTAATTATTTAAACTACGTCATTCCTACGAAGCTCTGAGCTACATGGAGCATGTGGAAACGTGTGCAATTACTACCACAGGGACATTACAGCCACAACGCATTACCTCTGAACTCCCTGCAAACATACATGAGATGATTCTAACACTACACATCACTAGAGTTAGTGCACAGAATATACGTCTATTAATATCATACGAGTATTATAAAAGCAATAGTTTAGATGGATCTAGTAGTATATGTAGTAGATAAGTACGGATAGATGGGTCAAAAATCAGAATAAAACTTGGCATAGTAATAGATAATAGTCTGGAATTACAGTTTCACAGCATTGGTTACATTTCTTCATTGTTTATTCAAAAAATAAATAGATATTATTTTATCATAGTCTGTACTTTATATATATAAGGTTTAATTTTCATTTAAGATTTTTTTTTCAACACTTAAATGCTGCATCTGGTAATGTTTAACTGATTTCTATTCTTATCAGGGAATCTCTGTAGAAAATATAATATGGGTAAAATATTTTTTCGTCCTTCAAAACTACAAGAAACGTGTGTATTTCTTCTGAATAGTAAGTTAAATTAAAATGAAATTAATATTCTTTATTTCAGGCAATTAACCCCATAACAATATATAAAAATAAATAAAAAACTAAGCAGTACAACAAACAATATAAATTATTAAGTTTTTATATTAAAAAGTCTTTTATCTCTTTTCTAAGATGGATAACACGGAACACAGACGCCACAATTTTGTTACAGCTCAGAGCTAAGCTTGTGTAGAATGAAGCCCTAAGATTCTGAAAAGACCGCCATCGCGCCAATTACTTCTCTGGTGTTGCGGGTGTCCATGGGTGGCGCTGATCACTTACCATCAGGTCACCTGTATTAAAAATCGTCCTATGAACAGTTACCTTCTTTATCAATAATGCTAACCAAATAAAAATAACAAACAGCTTAACAATACCAATACAAAGAATAACCTTTAGAAAAGAACTAAGTTCAAGAACACCACTTCTTAAATTCCCGGGACGCGAATAAAAAAGTTTTTACTGAAAATAAATTCAGTAGAAACTTATTAGAATATTCGTTGCTCTTAGACCAGCCCACGTTTGTCGGGAAACTATCGCGGCTGAAGATTAAAACTTGAATAATATATTGTGAAACGTCCGTGAATGAATTTCTGGACTCGTATGTATATTATGAAAATATTGACGACCGGCCGTGGACGACATATTGGTATTTGATGGGGTAAACTGTTGTTTATCGAGGATACATCGTCGTTGATTTTGTATAAAACTTTAGGTTGGTTTGTTTCAGTTAAACATGTTTATAAAAGATATACTTAGTCATTTTTTTAGGGGAAAATCATCAAATGACGTCTCTCAGGGTGGGGCGGGAGGGATTGTAAGACTCTTACTGAGTAAAAAATAAGGTTTTTACAGAAGTAAGGAAATTTAGCAAGAAAAAATTTTTTTCATGCTGATTATGAAGCAAAAATTTATTTAGTGCAGGGACTTCAGTTTGGTTTAGCTACTGATCCGACGATTACTATAATTTAAATACGCCATTTTTATTACAAAAACCAAAATTGTCAACTAGCCTTACTTAAAATATCAGAAGACGATCTAGTTGATAGTATCAAGTTCCAAGAGTACGAACAAGTTACAACATGATACTCACATGGGGAGCCGAATCGCTCTGAAATATTAAACCCTCGGTCAGGGAGACGGATCGTAATAAAAATGTGCTTTATTTTTGCACTTTGATGCTTTTAGGGAGGACTCTGTTCAATGATTAACCAAGGGAGAGGTTGGCTGGAATAATACAAGCCTTCCTATCAATGTGTAAACATTACGTACCTACGGATAGCAGAGGTCATTGGTTGAGTTGCCATGAGGCGTGTGGTTTCTTTAGTTTTGTCAAAGTTGAGAATTTTAGAGCCGATTCCACAAAGCATCAGCACCTACAATGTCTCAGAACTATTAGAGTTGATTCTACAATACGTTAATGTTACACCTTAATGGTTGGCAATTGAGCGCATTTCAAGTTCACATAATTTATGATCACGTTTTGATTTTTATTTTTCGTTATAACCGAATGTTAAAACTTACAAATCTCTACCAGGACTTCATACTTAGCAACAGCTTCCATTATATCCAGATCCCGAAGAAACATAACACAATTCTAAAGAAAATCTAACTTGCAAGATAAACTAGTACCAACAAACGTTTCAAATTCCAACAACTGCAACTGTCAACGTTACTGGCTCGCAAATATGATATCCTGGTTATACATAATTCAAAATGTACGTAGTAACGGACAGGGGTACCGCATTGCACCATGTACCCTAAAACTTAGCCACTACTGCCAACCCTCGGGAGCCATTGTCCTAATTGATAGGCTCGCGCAGATTTTAACGCGGTGATACAATATTTGTGGTGAAATTTATATTGTGGTATTTGAATAAATGTCGCAAATTTTAAATGTTGTTGTCGGTAAATTTCATTTGTGAGGTATCTGTATAGTTATTCCTTTTTTGTTTAATTTTGTTTTACTAAGTAAGTGATGTCCGTACGATTAAGTTTTATTCGTATCAAAAAATATGCTTAGAAATATACTTTATGTTTCTACAAAAATATAAAAGTGAGTCAATATTCCGAGACCAGAAAAAGGAAATGAGAGGAATCGTTAAAAAATAAATCAAGATAAATATTATTTATAATCGTATTTTTTTCGAGATTTATAGGGATAAACTGTCGAATACAAAATAAAAGGCTCGCGTAGGGTCTCCGCCTTTGCCTCTCAATCCCCGTCTCCACAACAAATAAAATAAATCCTATATTTTATTACGCAATCAAAACATAATCTCGAATTTCGAAAACACACTAAACCCAGCCAGTCTATAAAGTCGACACTGTCGACTCAATTTCGACGCGACAAAAACGTTACGACAATTCTACATTTGAAAAATGCGAAAACTTTTTCGTTTAAGTTTGGTAACTCCCGCGTTTTATGTTCACATTACTGACTAACCTTTTTTGTTGCTAGAAATCTGGTTTGTACTTAGCGATCTCCTTTCAAGTTTCCTTCAGTATCTATTATAAGACTGAACCTGTGATTGAACTATAAAAATTGGAATATTGGTTGTTTTCAATAATTTACAGCACAGTAACTGGCTGCCGTGTCACATGTTCGATTTTCGGACGGAGCGACTCTTTCTGTTACGGGTGTGACGTGTACCTGAAATTGCATATTTGTAAACGCATCCATGACGCAGGAGAAAATTTGAGAGTGGGGAAAAGTCTTTTTATACTTACAATAATTATTACCCATATATTATGGAATCGGTTGATATAAAATTACTCCGATCTCGTTTAGTAAAATTTTTAACCAGTTACTGAAATAGTCTTACAATGAAAGTTACTTTTGTAAATAATTAAAACTTATCTAGACCTCATACCAGAGAAGGTATATCTATGAATGTATTCGCGTTCGTAATGTTGTATATTCGTGTCAAGAGCTCTACTAAGTCATTCAGCGCCACGTACTTTCCCCCTGTAAAGCCAACATTTATTACAGCTACGTTACTTCCGTCAACCCGGCCTATCTAAACACGCACCCCTCTGTAGCATTTCAAATTTAATTGGTCGCAGCGCCATCTATTATTCCTAGCCAAGCACTAAACTTTTCCAAGGTATGAATGGACCAGCACGCATGCGTACTACACATCGATCCGGGATACAAACTTTGTAAATAATCTATCCGGCGACAAAAAATTCGCGGGTCTCATAATATTTCTCGATTCTCGTTCATAAAAATCCGAATTAATTCCATCAGAGTTGTGGAATAAAATATAACACTGTTCGATCATAAATAAATAGAAATCCCTTTATGATGGATCGAATAAAAAGGAAAAATCTAACTTTCAAACGAAATTCCTATTACAAAGAAAATTTTATTATTAAATGTCGATGAGTCCACGTTCGACGATACCAAATATTTCATTCCACCAATAAAATTTTATTCGGAGTCGGCGCACTGACGCCATGTTTACAACGTTTTCCCGCCAGTAGGGGCGCCACGATCGCTGCAGCCTCTCGGGCGTAGCTGTCAAAATTACGTTTACGAAAAAATTGCTATTCCCTTACTTATTGCCGATTCCCAATCATTAAAATCGAATATATTGCATAGCAACATGCAGGCTTAAGTTTGTAATAGTTGTATTCTGTATTCGGTAACCGATTAAAACCTAACCTATTTAATTTCGGTCAGCGTCGGTGGTATATGGTGTCAATAATCTTCAGTGTTATTGCGAGATGTCCCGGACCTTTTTTCTTGTCTTTTTGTTTATTTTCGGCGTTTGTTATTGTAATCCTGATGCGAAACGCTTATATGACGACCTCCTGAGTAACTACAATAGGTTGATACGGCCTGTTGATAAAAACAACAATACTGTGTTGGTGAAACTTGGTCTGAGGCTGTCACAACTGATTGACCTGGTAAGTCTTTTGCATTTTTTTTTTTGAAGTATGGAATAATACCTGACATTGAAAAAGTTTTGCTTATAACGAATTCAATAATGCCGCATCCATCAGGTCATTTGTTTTTTTTCTGAGCCTGAATATGTATAATAATTTATTTAATTTTAGAATGCATTCTCTTTTGTTTTTTTATTTAAAATCACCAGTAGTTTTGCTTTATGTATTATTTCTTTTATTTTTTAAGTAGAGATTTATTTATTTAACTGGTACAACAGGTGCATGTGACAGAATTATTGCATAAATACATGTATATACATATATTATTTGGTGTGCTTACTTTTATTAGGACGTATATGTAGCATAATGTATTATTACTATATAATGTTAAAGCATTAGAAGCTTGAATAAATAGTAGATCGAATGAACAAAAGCACAATATTTTCGTAATGACGAACATCTCTTTCTAGAGATTGTAATATTTTCAATTAAGCTGAACCTCTAGGTTTCTCGATTGTCATCCCGTTCCGGATTTTTACTACTGAAGAAGTGGGTAACAAATTCTGAAGTCATAAAGGAAAAAAGAAATAGGAATACAATCCTTCTCCAATGTTTTGAAATATCTCTTTGAGCATACACAAACACCAAATGATTAATACCTTCCAAGGTTAGGTTTCCTACGTCTACTTTGTCTTTGTTTTTTCAAATCCATAATTTTCTACCAACACGATATGCGGAGGTCATCTAATAGGAGTGAAGCTACATGAAGCACGTCAGCAAAATATCGCGTTATTATTCTCAGCGTTTAAATACCTTTCTGTTATTCTTATATATCGGTGTAACTATCAACAACCTCACTATAACCTTCGTGTATGTAATTAATCAGTGCACTCCCGACGTCTCTACGGACACGGCTGAGGTCGTTCTGTCCTCTGGGATTTGGACAACACAGAGTGCAGCTGTGTTTGCGCACAAACACACTACCTACTGCGCAAGTTGCTTGTACCTGTTATGAGATTCGTATATGTATATATACGATATATATGTATATATTATAAAGGTACATATTTTATTATAATGGCTAAATAATACTACCTATAATTTAAAAGAGAGAGAGAGACATGGTGGGGCGATAATTGGCCGACTAGACTAGATTGACACGGCCTCACACAAAAACAGTAACTGTTCGGTGATTAAAGTAGTTCTAATGAAATTATTGGTGTTAACTATTAATGCTTGTATCTTGGTAAATTTTCTAACGTGTTTAAAAGTCGATTTTCTGTAATAAGGCCTCACAGAAAACTGGCGTGGAAGAACGCTTTTCTATGTTTCACTGTGTGACTGAGGTTTTCAAAGGCGTTCTTGCCCTTCACATTCCTACCCCAATCTCATAATTCTCAATACTCTATTTTTGTGATAGAACAACGTGGAGAGCTCACCATCAGGTGATTCTTCTGCGTGTTTTTCGCCTACATGATCCTCGACTTCGATGGTCAAGTGATCGAAATCCTCGAAAACCATGTTGATCTTGGATTTAAATGATAACAAAAATAATTATTTTAACTTTAGAGTTTAAAAAATCTTGTTTTGTTAATGGTATGCAGCTTGTAGCTGTCGGTACACAGCAAGGGACTAACCTATTAATGATATATTGATCTGAAAACACAAAAGTATAATTATATTGATAATACGTATCGTAGGCATGTGTTTATAAGACACGAGGGACGAAAAAAAATTACATCATCGTTATCATCAGCATCAACCTCACTCGGAGAAGGTTAAAAATTAAACACTAGGCATACTTAAGGTGGATTTCAAACTTATAATAAAAAAAAATAAACCCATGTTTTTTCACCATGCTTTCCCAAGTGTGATGGTGGTATAAGGTGCGGGAGCCTTATCCTACCGAATCCGCTTAGTCGGATCACCATTAAACTTGTCATATGCCTACCATCACACGTAACTAACACAATAAAAAAAAACAAACTTTGTTACAAAACAAATGTCAAATCGTATAAAAATAAAAAGTTGTGATTGTCCATGGTGTATTGATTACTGAAAACAACCTTACCTGCGGTTACCATGGCAACATGAGGGTTCCACAGGTGCGACGAGGACTGCCCTCGTGGGCCTAATCAAATATTTAGTAAATAAGTTCAAATAATAACGTATGAGCGTGTAAAGTTTAATGTTGTTGGACCAACGAGTTGGTATAATGAACAAAATCATTTGGGATTTGAAAATAGACGATCATAAATGGAAAATGATCGTAAAACTCTGTGTTAGGATAACATCAAGCCTTTTATTTCGCGGAAAGGGTGTGTAATCAGGCTTTTCTATGTATAATTAGGATGTTGCTAAGCAGTTTTATGTTGTAGTCTTATGTAATAGGGAATAGGGTTGTTTGCAGATCATACAACGGTATTGTGTGCTTATCGAAGTAACTTTTATTTAAAAATATGCAAAAAAAATACAATAATTTTAATTTTGATGGTGTATGATCGAAGCGGTAATCAGGATAGCGTTGACCTTGAGCATCATGATTATCACCGGATTATTAGTATCGAGTGAGAATAATCTCTTTAGCTATAACATGCCCATTTCTATTTATGAAAATTTCTACATTCATCAAAATACAATTGTACGGATCAATCAGTACTTACATCAATATAAATAACTCTGCTTATGGTACCAACGTTGCCATGGCAACCATCCTACAGGTGTTCCGAATATGATAAACCCTCATTGGCCTACTTAAACATTTGAAAAGGGATTAAAGTACAAACAAACGAATTTAAGAATCTTATTTGTTCAGGATTTAACTGGTTCAATCCAGTTTGAACAAGTGACGGCTTGTAATTACTGGAATTTAATATAAGGGACGTGCTTATTTATATTGTGAACGTTTAATGCTTTAAAAGATGGTTTACGCTAAACTGTGAATGTGGAAAAAGTGACGGGACCGGCCACTGTCAAGAACTCCAAGGGACGTCCAAGGAGTCAACGTCAAATCTAAATAAGATGTGCAGGTCAAGAGAAAAGTAGACAATGAAAAATGAATGTGTTTTTCCAAATACTTGGTCATTAACAGCAGTGGTAATATCAAATGAAATGGTTAAAAAATATATTTTGGAATTGCATATTTACCTATTTTATTTATCATCAAAAAACACATACGAGTAACACATATTTAGCCCAGCGCATGGAGGACGTGTCCCAGCTGAAGCACGGCCCTGATTCTTCACGGTTCGGCGTGAATCAATCTTTACGCCCACTGATTCCATAGCCTCAGCACATATAACCTAGCAGTGGAATGATCAGGCTAGGTGGTAAAATACCTCACTGACGTTATTCTAGAGTCTGTCTGTTAGCATCCTCAAAACTTTTGGTAACAGCGGTCGTCAAATATATATTGACACTCACTACCACTGGAAATATATGTTGGCTTATTTGAAGGAACAGAAAACCTATCGTTAAACTATTTAATTAGATTCGAGCTTATTACAGTTCACCAGGAACAAGCTTAGTCGTGCTACTCGTTAGAGCATTAGTATTAAAACACCTAAGTTCCCGGCACAAGTTTTATAGCCAACTTAAGACTTCTAATTTAGCAGTCCAACTTACAACCACAAAATCACCGTGATTTGAAGGTTAAGTGATTATAGTAGTTCTGCCGAAGTTTGTAGTTAAATTTTTAATTTCTGGATCTTGATAAATGTGATTTTTATTTGACACCATTTAAGATCTAAGCTTTTTTCCCAAATGGGCTGGCCTGACTGAAGTGATACCACGGTCTCACAGGAAACTGATACTGTTTTTTTGTTCTGTCACACATCCCCCATCTACATTCCCTGAACTATTTAATCACCATATACCCAAGCTTTAGTCCTCTATCCCCACTCCACCATACTTCACAATCCCTAAAACCCAATTCTACATCTCCCACTCTCAATCTAATTCCTAAAAGACCGACAATGCAACTTGTAACTCTGTCCATGCTTGGTTAAATTTCATTCACTAACAGCTGATTTTTCAATGGTTAGATAAAAATTACCTGGGGAATAATTAATATGCTGTCACGTCAGAATGTTTGTATAAGACAGTGACAGCAACTATTTTATTACTCAGATAACATTTATCTGACTATTGAAAAATCAGCCCTAAATGTTTTACTTTAAAGTGGAACTGAAGGGTACTAAACATTTGTAATAAAAGGAAGTTTTCTACATTAATAATAAATGATTGGGTATAATCATCATATTAACATAGTTACCAATATTGTTGACCATTGTGAATCATGATTTTTTTGCTGTGCTAAATCTTCAGATTTATAAGAGGGCGCTGCTGCTTCATCTCTGTCAAAGGCGTTGTCCCAAAGGTCATACGACAAGATTCGTAGCTATATCCAATATGAGTTGTATTTCAACGAAATAGATTAAAAGCGATTCATTTAATATTTTAAAATACTCAACTATCGTCGCTTTGTGCAAAACTGCTAACTGTAAATACTAATAGCTTAAAGAATAACAACTAACGACCCAATTTAAAACAGTTTCCAATTACGGCATTCTCTACGCTTTACGACTATGGCTTTTGCAGAAAACACTACGATACACTTTATTTTCTTTCTTTTATAAACCAGTATATATAAATATATTATACATTCTAGGTACACACTCCAATTTATGAATATTCCACATTTAGTGCTCCAAATTATTCTACGTAAGTTTTTTTTTTATTGCATAACGCAGTACGCTGCCTATAGACATCCGTAACACTGGAGTGGTTGCAAGTACGTTGCCGGTCTTTTGGGGTTAAGGGATTTTGGTAATTGAGGTACTGGAAAGGGATGGGGGACAGGTAGCTCACACTCTCCTCTCTCTCTCTCTACTTTTACATCATTAAATTGAAATCGATAGTTGGGTCATAATTTCTCCTTCACCTATTATAAATTGCTTCGAGGCATGCTTTGGTTTATCCCAACCACATTTTTTCACCATCGATCCACACCACATTTTCGT